TTTAGAAATAGTACTAGAGGTAGTCATGTTGTTGACGGTAGGTATGGGGTCAGTGGTGTTTTTATAAAATTATTTTTAATTTCGAAATATTTCATAAACTGTAAATAAACTATTCTTATTCAAAATTAATTTATTCATTCAAAACTTGTTATATGACAAATCGTTATCAAAATATTAACTTTGATAAAAATTAATTTTTAAAATCATTTAAATGCGAACGTTCTTAAGGTCTCAACCCCCTCCCCTCTCATTCTTAAGACACCCCCACCCCCGAAGTGCCAACGTAATATATGAATCAGTCCTAAGAATTTGTTTTTCTTCTGATTGATTTTGAACTACTATTGCATGCAATGATATGTTGATTTCTGAGAGGGGGTGCAATACTATTGAAATATCATTGCATGCGATTTCGGTGAACACGAAAATCACTGAATATGACCTAATATTGCATGTAATCCTGGGCCAGAGGTTAAGGTAAGATTTTTCAATGCATAATAATTAATTGTTATTTTTTGAGTAACTCTAATTGAACTTATCAATGTTATTATACATAATAACTAATTTATTTATAAAACTTGTTGACAAGTAGTTTTAGTATTTTTAGTATTATACAAATTTAGATCAATTTTTATTAGTTTAATTGAATTCATTATTTTCACAATTTGGTAAAAATAACTTTGTAACATTTTACATAACAAAAACTACTTTGAATTTACATAGATACAATTTTTAAAGTCTAATGGCTTGATTTGACTTAAGAAGGTGCCACACCTACTCTACTGGTGATACCTATTTAGGTGATCCCACTAGTAATCAATCGTTAATAATTATACGAAAAAACCCAGTATGAATTTCTTTTAAAAATAGATTTTTATAAAAAATAATATTGAATTTATCATATTGAATTGATAAAAAATTACTTTACATAAAAAGTATTTTTATAAAAATTATGTTTTAGGAAATCTGCGAATTCGAGCAACAAATAGTACGATCAATTGCCCAGGGTACGTTTGCAAAATTTAACATTACGTTAAAGGTGGGATGGGGCTATAATGTTCATGAAACCTTAAAAAACCAGGTAAATGCTTATAACTTATTAATTTTTTGGTATAATTAACCAAAATCTAACCTAGGACGCTGATTTAGGACTAGATACATTGACAATAGAGGAAAGTATATTTAAGGTAGCAAATTTACAATGGTTCAGGGACGAGTACAACATGGCATTGATTAGTGGCAAATACATTCAAAGTCCAAACCTGATGTCCGGAAGTAATGCATCGAAACTCAAATTAGACAAAACGGTTGACTTCAATGCCATTAAAGTGTATTACATGGAGGGACACAATAACCCGGGTATAAGTCCACTACAACCAGAAGTCAGACAATCATTAAACCAATGCGTCGACTATTTGCGTAATAAATGCCGAGACTGTGAGCGCATATACCTTAAGGAACTGGAGTTCGGCTTTGATATATGGATGTGCGCTATGACTGACCCGACGGCACCAGCACTCGAGCAGGAGTTGGTTAACTTGAAGGGACGGATCAACCCATACGTTGAATTAGTGAAGTCTTTGTTAGGTGTGTCTAACATAACCTTCCCGTCGATTATCAGTTGTTTCGATGACTTGATTACCGGTCTATCGAGTGAACAGTATTTCAAATTCTTAACAAAATTAAGACTAGAGTTGAGCGAAAAGTTGCACAAAATTTTGGGTAAAGTCTCAAACGGTTGTAAAATATTTACAATTTATTAAAAAACTAATTTTATTTAATTAGGAGATAATAGCGTGTTTGTATACCCAGGTCATCCGGAAACAGGTATATTGTAATTAATATTTTATAATAAATTTATTTTTAATGTTTGTATACTATAAGCGCCTAAACATAACGGAACGGTACTTAAGGTGAAGAACATATCGTATACCTGTGTGTTCAACACACTGGATGTGGCCATCACTTCAGTGCCGTTAGGGCTGTCCACTGAAGGCCTACCCATCGGTGTGCAGATCATTAACAACCCATTCAACGATCACTTGAGTATAGCCGTGGCCGAGGAACTGGAGCGTAGGTTCGGTGGTTGGACTCCACCCGCGGCTATCATTTGTTAGTTATGTTATTATACAAGTTATCTAGCACATAAATATCTAAATTTATTTTTAAATCGTAATTTATCATTTGGGAAATTGATTATAAAATTACAATTAATTGTAGCTATCATTAAATAAAAGTACGCTATTTTCAATTGATTGTACCTTGTTTTCATGTGTACCAGTTTATGTGTACTTATAGTATAATTATTATAATATTGATTATAATCAAATATATTAAGCTTATTACGACGTGTAATAAACTATTAATAAAAATTTTAATGTTTTTATTGTGACACTTATAAGCGATATATTTGGAAATAATAGTATATGTTAAGCTAATTATCAGATTTTAATTGTTTTCATATTTAATTATAATTATAACGTTACTTAATATATAGAAATAATTTTTACATTAATGAGTTGCACGAATGATCTCATAATAAACTCAATATTAAGTTCATAGTATTTTAATACTTACAGTATTTATAATTAATCTAGCATTTGTTTTATATTAGTAAAATTTATATTATAAATTAAATATTATTGTATATTTGATTTAATGAGATTCAATCTTTATAAATAGCAAAGATTTTTCATTTTAATGGTTTGGTTTGATATAAACCGGTGCTATAAATACCCACCTGGTGAATCCAATTTAGGTGATCCCAATAGCAATCAGTCATTGGTTATTATACAAAAGGATCAGGTATTAACTGATAACAATTAATTTTATTTTTATATGAGTTACAACAATTTAAGAATTTGTTTTACACCGGTAATCAATGAATTCGTAACCGTATTTATAATTATTTCATTTTTTATTTTTTATCATTACTAATAATTACTGTACATATTACTTACTTTTTGAATTCACTGCCGGTAATCCTTAAATTAATTATGTAATTGTTTTTTAATAATAATTATATTTTAGTAATACGAATAATAGAAATATTATACCTACACTAATCTATTTTATTATTCTGTAAATAAGACAATTGATTATATTTATTATTTGATTATATCATCTATGTATTATTTATATTTAGAGAGTATGCGAATTCGAGCACCAAATACTGCGAGCATTAGCGCAGGGTACTTTTGGTAAATTTAACATCACGTTAAGAGTTTTAGACAGTAGTACGGATGTGCATTACCAAATTAAAGCTAATGAGGTAAGCGGCTTAGGTAATAAAAAATTAATTATTAACACATTTTAATAAATGTACTAGGACATTGATTTAGCACTCTCTAAGGTGGCAATAGAGGAAACTCTACTCAGAATAGCAAATACCCAGTGGTTTACGAGCGGCTATAATATGGTGATACTTAGCGGCAAATATATGCAAAAACCTAATATATTCAATATGATTAACACATTCCCTATGGTTTTATGGCTGTTAATTTTGACGACTTTATTATTTGTAACACCAATTCGGTATTATTCACAAAATGTTTATACAAGTATAAATATTCGTATAATTTATTGTCACGTGTTATTTTAAAAATTCACTATATAATAGATAAACATAACGGGGTAAATATTATGAAATTATTTTTCGACACAATCAGAAATCCTATTCACTATAATATGGTCATACATGGCACTGGTATTGTCGCAATGTTTTTGTGGTAATATATTATCATCAATGGTACACCAGGATTGGCAATATATACATTCAATGGATGAGCTAGTTGATTCAAAAATGTCAGTACTTGTGCCCAATCATTCATATGTGTATCACGAATATAAGCGCAATCAACACTGGAATTTAACTATTGATCCTAACCTTAAACTATTGGAACAGATGAACAGGGTCATTTTTGTTGATGAATTGAGTGGGCAAAATTATATCAAGGTTTATCTTAATTTATTATATATTTATAATATTTAAATATTTAATTAATTTAGAGTTTATTTGCGGATTACATCGAAAAGAGACACATGGTTTACATGAGGGAGGGGTGGAGTGTACTGATCAAGAAATGGACAAATTTAGACATGAAGTTAGAAATCGCTGACGAAAAGTATTTGCCCTCACTTTACGGTCATATGATCAATAAATGTCAACCAGATCGTTTGCACAAATGTGGTCATCATAAACGTAAACGACAACTTGTGCTCAAAATGTTAGTAACGTTATCAGTGTAAAGTAAAAATGTATACTATTATACAATAATATTTTATTATAAGTTATTGAAAATTAACTATTGTATAAAGCTTATTATACAAATTTATTATTATATATGTATACGGAATTCAAATTCTGGTGGAATCGGGTATTAATAATAATTGTTATACGAGACAAGAAGTTAACATAATTTTATGGGGTTTTCGTGAATTGGAAAAAGTTATGAATAAAATCGATCGAAAGTCTAAGGAATACAAGAATTTCTTCATTAATGATATAAATAGCGGACAAAACAGTGAATCTGAAAGCGATAAGACTATTGAATTAAATTTTATTACAGATATGTTTGTAGTGTTTATAGCATTCATCGTATTTATTATATTTATATTTTTAATTGAAATAATTAGCAGATTTGTTGTTAAGTATTAATTATTATTAAACATTGAATATAAGTTTATTAATTAACTATTAAACCAAAACCAACTGCCAACTTATTATTGAAATAAAAATAAGTTTTCATTTTAAACAAGTAGATAAAAAAATATTTTTTATAAAGTAATTAATTTTTAAAAATTAAAAGACTGATAATAAAAATACTCAATGGTTCAGGGATGAATACAACATGGCGTTGATTAGTGGCAAGATATTTGGACTCTTATTTGAATGTACTTTCATATTTAATATGAAAATCTTTAAAGTCCAATCATTAAATTATGGCTGCCTGTTTAAGGCAAACCTGGGCGATCTACTAGTCATTGTTTACTTAGCATACGTTTCGTTTACATTAGTGGGTCCATCTATACAACCGCAATACTTCAGAATAGCCCGTAATATCACTTTTAAGTTATAATTAAATATTATTTTAATTTGTGAACAGCTATTGATTGCAACACTAATTAATACATAAGTGTTGTCATCATTAGCTGCCGTTTTCACCACAACTACAAGTGTTTGCATACAAATATATATATGTATTCATTCATATTCAATGTTACGTACTAATCTGAATAACAACAATGAATTCATATTGCTTCCCCCACTTGCCGTTCACTTGTTTATAGCTTCATAGTATTTATTATACTTATATTTTTAATTGAAATAATTAGTAAGTTGCTTGCAAGCTCTCATAATTACACATTGAATATACAATAGGTTTAATAATTAAAAATTAAAACACCAAATTCCAACTTGTTTTTATTTATAACAAGTAGATAAAAAATTGTTTATAAAAAACTTTATGTTAATAAAAATTGTTTGTATAAAATCTTTTCTATTATGTTTTTGTATCTTATTATCATAAATTTATTTTATTTCATTTATAGTATACTAATATTGATTAAATAAATTAAACAAAATTTTATGATAAAGATTTATATTTTATATTTTCATAACTAACATAACTTTATCATAAAATTTTGTTTAATTTATTTAATCAATATTAGTATACTATAAATGAAATAAAATAAATTTATGATAATAAGATACAAAAACATAATAGAAAAGATTTTATACAAACAATTTTTATTAACATAAAGTTTTTTATAAACAATTTTTTATCTAATATAAGAATTAGTTTTGTACTGGTAATCAGCGAGTTCGTTACCGTATTTATCATTTTGTCATTTCCTAATTTTTATAACATTATAAAATGTGTACACATTAATGTTTATATAAATATTATTAATGATACATATCTACAGTATTTTAGAGTATTTGCAAATTTGAGCAACAAATATTGTGCTCAGGATGCATTTGGTAAATGTAACATCATGCTAATGTTAGGACATTTCGAGTTTTTGGAGACATTAAAAACGAGGTAATATTTTTAAGATAATTTATAATTTAAGTAACACTTACATAGTTTAACAAATTGT